GAACACTCAAATTATACTAAAATCAGAAAAGTAAGTAGGGACGTTTCCGACAGATTCTGCAGAAGTAAGATTAATCATGAGAGAGCATGAACAGACGTACACCAACACACTGCAGAACCCACACAAAACAGAGAAATTGCATTTCAGGGAAACTGAAACACAAATTATCAAGAAGGAACACAAAACCTACCAACACTGAATCATGAAGAATAAAAAATCTGAATAAACTTACAAGTCGTAAGAAGATCCAATCAGTAAAGAAGATTTCCCTACAACGAAAAGCCTTACACCCAACAACGTCACTGCTAAAATGAACGAAATATTTAAAGACGAACTAATACCGGGGCACCAGGGTGGCTCAGCTGGCTAAGCCTCTGACGCTCTGATTTCGGCTCAGGTCACGATCTCAGGGCTGTGAGATCGAGCCCACGTCAGGCTCCACTCAGCAGGCTCCACTCAAATAGTTCTATGTGCCCCTCCTCCGAATGTGCGTACTTTCTCTCTAAAATAAATAAATAAATAAATCTTAAAAAAACAAACAAACAAACAAACAAAAACTAATACCAGTCCTTCTCAAACTTTTCGAAAACACTAAAGAGAAAGGAACACTTCAAACTCATTCTTGAAGGTCAGCATAACCCAGATATCAAAGCCAAAGACACTATAAAAACAGAAGACTACAGACCAGTATCCCTGCTGAACACTGATGCAAAAATCCTCAAAAAAGTACTAATTCAACTTGGTAGCATATTCAAAGGCTTATACATCAGTAGGGTTTATTCCGAGAAGGCAATGTTGGCTTTACATATGAAAAATCAATCAAGGGGGGCGCCTGCCTGGCTCACTTAGAGAAGCATGTGACTCCTGATCTCAGGGTTGTGAGTTTGAGCCTCACATTGGGTATAAAGATTACTTAAAATAAACTCTTTTAAAACATCCATCAGGGGCGCCTGGGTGGCTCAGTGGGTTAAGCCTCTGCCTTCGGCTCAGGTCATGATCTCAGGGTCCTGGGATCAAGCCCCGCATCGGGCTCTCTGCTCAGTGGGGAGCCTGCTTCCCTCTCTCTCCGCCTGCCTCTCTGACGACTTGTGATCTCTGTCTGTCAAATGAATAAATAAAATCTTAAAAAATAAAATATCAATCAATATGTCACATTAAAAAAACAAGGGGTGTAAAACCCATATGATCATCTGATCATCTCAATTGATGTAAAAAAGAAAAAGTGTCTGACAAAATTTAAAAACCTTTTAAAATAAAAACACTCAATAGACTAGGAATAGAAAAAAGGGCCTCAGCATAACCAAAGCCACATACGAAGAAGACAGAGAACATCACACTCAGTGGTTTTGAGTCTTCCAAAGCTGTAGCTGTAGCTACAGTCGGGAACAGGGCAAGGAGGCTGGTCTTCACCCTGTCCACTCGACATTGTACTCAAAAGTCTAGCCCAAGCCGTTAGGGAAGAAATATAACCACAAGGCATTTAGGTTGGAAAAGCAGAAGTAAAATTATCTCTGTTCACAGATAAAATGAACTTATATGTAAAAAACACTAAAGATTCCACACAAAAATTATTAAAAAATCATAAATTCAGCAAAGTAGCAGGATAAGAAGTCATTAAGCAAATATCACTTGCATTTCTACACATTAAATGAAAAATCTGAAAAGAAAATTAAAACAAGTCTACTTACAGCAGCATCAAAGCATCAAATGCTTGGGAACTAACCCAGTCAAGGATGTGCAAGACTTGTAACATGAAAACTATAAAATATTGCCAAAGTCAATGTCCACAATAGCCAAACTATAGAAAGAGCCGAGACGTCTGTCAACAGATGAACGGATAAAGAAGATGTGGTATATACACAATGAAATACAATGCAGCCATCAAAACCCCCCAAATCTTGCTGTTTGCAACAAACGGGGATGGAACTAGAGGGTATTACGCTAAGTCAGAGAAAGACATTTATCATACCATCTCTCTGATATGAGAAATTTGAGAGGCAGGGCAGGGGGTTGTGGAGGGAAGGGAGGGAAAAATGAAACAAGATGGGATTGGGAGGGAGACAAACCATAAGAGACTCTTAATCTCATGAAACAAACTGAGGGTTGCTGGGGGGAGGGGGGTCGGGAGAGGGGGTGGGGTTACGGACATTGGGGAGGGTGTGTGCTATGGTTGAGTGCTGTGAAGTGTATAAACCTGGCGATTCACAGACCTGTACCCCTGGGGCAAATAACACATTCTATGTTAATTAAAAGACAGTTTAAGAAAAAGAAAGAAAGAAAAAAATGTTGCCAAAGAAATTAAAGACATAAATAAGTGGAAATGTATACCATATTCATAGATGTCAATACTACCTTAAACAATGTGGACTCAATGCAGTCTCTGGATGTTACTTGCAACTAATGAATCATTGAACATTATGCCAAAAACTAATCATGTACTATACACTGGCTAATTGAATTTAAATCAAAAAAATTTCAATGATATTTTTTGTAAACTAGAAAATGCATCGTAAACGTCAAACAGAATCTCTAGCAAATCTGACTAGCCAAAACAATCTTAAAAAATAAAGTCAGAGGACACACACTTCCTGATTTAAAAGCTTCCTACAAATACACAGTAGTCAGAATAGTGCAGTGTAGGGACAGAAAGAGACGCACAGATCAATAGGGCACAATACAGAGCCCAGAAAAAAAAAAAACCCGTGCATTTATGGCCAGCTGCTTTTTTACAAAGGAGCCAAGACCACTCAATGAGGGACAAGACAGTCATTTCAACAAAACGGTGCTGAGAACGTTGGATCTCCACATGCAGACGAATGAGGTTGGACCTTTACCCAAAACCACATAACTAGTGGTTTCAGAAAAATGAACTCAAATTAGATCAAAGACAGAAATGTAAGAACTAACACAATAAAATTCCTGGAAGAAAACATGAGACAAAGCTTTATGACACTGGGTTTGGCAATGATTTCTTGGATGTGACCAAAGCATAGGTCAAAAAAGAAAAAAAAAAAGAAAATTGGACATTATGAAAATTGAAGAATTTTGTGCATCAAAAGACAGTACCCACAGGATAGGCGAGGGTCAGGGTTTAATAACCAGCATGTACAGAGAATTTGTAAGACTCAACAACAACAAAAAAAATCAAGCAACTCGAGCCAAAGGACTTGAACAGATACTTCTCCAGAGAAGAGGGACAAACGGCCACTAACTGCAGGAAAAGATGCTTAACATCACTGATCACTAGGGAAGTGCCACCCGGAACCACAGTGGGATGGCACTGCACGTCCCTTAGGATAGTTACGGTTCTGAAACAACAACCAAACCAGAGAACGCTGAGAGTTGTTGGTGGGGGGAGAAGGGGAATGGTGTGGCCACCACGGAACACAGCATGGTAGTTCCCTCCCAGATTAAAAACGCAGTGACCATACATATGGTCCAAAATGGCATATACCCAGAAGACCTGAAATCAGTGTCTTTTTTTTTTTTTTTAGGACTTCATGTATTCATTTGACAGAGAGGGAGAGAGAGCGCACAAGCAGAGAGGCAGGCAGAGGGAGAGGGAGAAGCAGGCTCCCCGCCGAGTGGACAGCCCCACGCGGAGCTCAATCCCAGGACACCTGAGCCCAAGGCAGACGCTTCACTGACTGAGCCGCCAGGCATCCCTGAAATCAGTGTCCTGAGAGACGCGTGGACATCTCTGCTCACAGCAGCATCTCCTACTAGAGCCAACCCTTGGAAGCAAGCCTACTGTTCGCTGACAGACAAATGCACAGGCCCAGTGGGAACACATTCAACAGAACGTCACTTAGCCTTAAAAAGGAGTTCGGATCCCGCAGCAACACAGCCGAGCCCCCGGGACATCACAGCACATTTAATGAGCCATGCACAGAAGGACAGTGCCGCAGGACTCCATGTCTGTGGGGTCCCAGAGTCCTCAAAATCCCAGAGACAGAGGGAGATGTGGGTGCTGGGGGAGGGGGCGGGGGCTCTTGGCCATTCAGAGTGTCAGTTTCACAAGATGCAGCGAGCTCTGGGGGCGGACGGTGGGGCGCCCCACAACAGCGTGAGGGTTTTTAAAGCGACTGAACCATAGGTTGGTGAATTTATGTTACGTGTATTTAACAACAATAAAAAATTGAAAAAACCGTAGAGAAAGAGAATTGAAGTAAATGACACAAATGGAGGGATCAGACCGCAAGGGTGGGCCAAAGGCTTCCTGAAACTGGGGGAGTCCCAGTCCCTCGACAGAGACACCGCCCGCGCCCTAGGGTCCTTGTGAGGTGACAGCCATGGCACGTCCCTGAACAGCACGGGGGTGGGAGTGCCCGCCCCTGGCACATAGGTTTCTTACAGGGCTGCACCGTAAACGTTTCTTCTCTCCCTCGTGACTTTTCCAACATGATTTTCTCTCCCTGGCTGACTTCACTATGAGAACACAGTGTATTAACACACAGAACACCCAAACGAGCTGCTAATGGACTGTTTGTGTCCCTGGTAAGACCTCCGGTCAACAGTGGGCTCCAGTAGCTAAGTTCTGGAGGCGTCAAAAGTCATACGTGGATTTTCGACTGCACAGGGTGGGGTGCTCCTAACCCCCCCGAGGTGTCCAAGGGTCACCCGCAGCTCCATTCTTTGGTAGGAACGAGGGTCAGTGGTCAGCCAAACAGGACGGAACGCAAGCTAAAAGGGCAAGAAACCCCAGTGCCCAGAGTTTTAGAGCAGTGCACTGGGGTTTGAGAACCAGCAAGGAAGAAAAACGTGTGGTTTTTACTAGGGTCTAATGAGGCTGTGTTTACACCCCAAGAAATAGCTGGAACGTGTGGAAAGAATCGGCCAGCCCAGCTCACCACGGACACGGTCCCACCGCCTCAGGAAGGGAGGGCACATGCCGCTCTCCCGCACCCTTTCAAGCCCGTGCTAGAGTCCCGCTCCCAGAAGAGCATCGGGGACGGCCCCGGGTGGCTCGGGCCACACAGCGTGCAGACCGGGTTTCTCACCTTCACTCCGGCGAGCATCCCGGTCGTGGACACGCTGAAGTCAAGATAAGCGAGCGTGTCTGGGTTGGAAGGTTTGTAGATCTGGGCAGGCCGCTTCTTTGGCAAATCGTCTGGAGCAAAACAACAGCGTTAGTATACCTGACCCAGTGGGAAAGCAGACGAGCCCACGCAAGTGTCTGGCAGGCCTGAGGACTGACCTGTGTCCAGGATGGGGGGCCAGGCCCTGACGTCTACGGCCGCTGCCGCCTCCCTGGACCGCAACAACTTACAGATGAGCTGCGTCGTCATCAAGCAGGCGGAGCGACTCACCTGCGGGCAGACAGCTGCTCACTCCACTGCGCGGGGCCGTCCGGCCTCCGAGCACCTCTCCGGGTGCTGTGGGTGAGGAGTTCCTTTCTCCAGGGCTTTCCAGTCCCGGTGCACCAACAGCGCCATCCCCAAAGCGCTGAAATCCTTCCAGAACTAGAGGGTAGAGGCCACACTGCCTCCCCGGCCCTGGAGCCAGCCCTGCCTCGGGATTTCTGAGCGAGAAGTCCCGGCACTGGGGCCCTGGCACGGGGGAAGGCTGGCATGTCCAGGCAGTGGGGAGGCCCGGCACTGGGGTCCTGGCACGGGGGGGGGGCCTGGCACTGGGGTCTGGCGGGGGGAGGCCCAGCATATCTGGGCAGTGGGGAGGCCTGGCACTGGGGCCCTGGGTGGGGCAGGCCCGGACACTGGGGTCCTGGCAGCGGGGAGGCCGGCGCACCGGGGCAGGGTTACCTCCACGATCATCTTCACAGTCGGCAACGTCGTTGCGATGTTCTGTGGGTGAGGGGGGCGGACGGTGATTGGCACGCAGCCCGCGTAGAGGCAGCCATAAAACGCCGCGATGAGGTCTATCCCTAGATGGGAGAGGAGCAGACGCTCTCACTCACACGGTCGTCCCCACCAGGTTGCAGCCCGCGGCACCGACACTGCTGGCCGCGTATCTGCGGCCTGTGACCTGCGGTACGCTTTGGCTGTAACTTCCCGCTGGCCTGTCCCCTCGGAGCAGCCCACAAGTGTGATTTCTGTTGTTCCTCTCAGCAATGACTTCATTCTACAGTGACCTGTTCCGTGCCGGACTGGGTCACCGCCCATCCCGCGAGCTACCTCAGATACGTAACAAAATATGTAGGTACAGACGCCCCCAAAATCACCTCTTATTTATGCCCTCGGGTCGCTCAGCACGCACCACCGTCCCCACCAGAGGCTGTGAGCAGAAGCGGCGAGCCCCCCGGAATGCAGGGCCAGCGGCAGGGCCCCGCACACGCGCCCGTCCCTCCCCGCCTCTTCACCTGGCGGGTAGACGAGAGCCACGTGGTCCCCGTCTTGCAGGTGTCCTCTCTCCATGAGCATCACGGCGATCTTCTCGGCTCGTTTGTGCAGCTGCACGCACGTGAGTGAGCTCGCTATCGTACCCTGGGGGTCGCAAGAACAAGGGGGTGAGGCGTTTCTGAACACAACAGGCTCTACCGAGAGCGTCTGCATGTTCCTGCCAATTCCCGTACTTGAGACGCACACACACGCGGACGTTAGTGTGTCTGCACACCTGTGTGACCAGCACCGGTCAGCTTTAGCACACAGTGGGCCCCCCCAGAAGACCCCGTGCCATGAGTGGTCCCTTCCCTCTCCTTCCCATTGTCAGCACCAAAGAGGCATCTGGAAAGACTGGTGTTAGCAAGAACACTTTAGTTTTTATAAGATTTTATTTATTGATCTGTCAGAGACAGAGAGAGAGCACACACAAGCCACGGCACAGGCAGAGGGAGAAGCAGGCTGCGCACTGAGCAGGGGGCGTGACGCGGGGCTGGGTCCCAGGACGCTGGGATCAGACCTGAGCCAAAGGCAGACGCTAGACTGATTGAGCCACCCAGGTGCCCAACAAGAAATATTCTAAAAAACAATTACTTGGGGCACTTGGGTGGCTCAGTTGGTGAAGCGTCCCACTCTTGATTTTGGCTCAGGCCATGATCTCAGGGCTGCAGGGTGGAGCCCCGGGGAGGCATGAAGTCAGCTGGAGAGTCTCTCCCTCTCTCTGCCCCTCTGCCCGCTCACATGCTCTCACTTTCTCAAATAAATAACATCTTTTAAAAAGAAGGACTTACTTGACCTAAGAAGTAGCTAAACTAAGGAAATACATCAAGCTGGTAATTCTGGGACCCCAGGGCACTAAGAGTCAGTGAGGAATGAACAGGAAAAGTAGACAAACGGAAAATATTTTTACAAAACACCACGTCAGAAGTCGCAAGGTCTAAAAACAGATAAAACAAAGCCATAGTGAAAAATAAACAAACAGTAAAGGGAAAAACGCACGTTGAATTCACTTTATGGAGACTTTAAATACGGAGAAACAGATGGAAGACACGTTTGGATCAAACAACACCTTAAAAGCACGGCTGCAACCTCCTGAGGTTCTACAATTATTTCAGAATCAAGAGATGAAGGAATTAAATAAATTAGAAACACTGTGCTTCACGATCAAACCCTATTTTAAAGGGACTCACAGGGTGAAGGGCCTTCCTGGGCCCGGGCACGGTGACAACACCGTCTGTTCCCACGGAACAGCGAGTGGGCCAGAGGCCACGGGAACAACAGTGAGACGCCGCAATTTTCCGGGAATGCGTACGTCACGTGCGGAGAGTCAAGCCCCAGGCCAGAGCGGTGAGCGTGCCCGAGCAGGAGGAGGGTAACGCTGAGTGCAAAGAAGTGATCAGACCCAGGGGTCCCTTGCGAATGGGAAGGGGCACGCCAGTAACAGGGCTGCTCGGGGAACACAAGAGAAATCCTGGTAATATGGCCTGTAAGAAACACCTGCTTGGGGGGTGGGGACTTTCACCGTCAGGATGCAAACTCCATGTTTGCCAAAATCACCCACAAACTAACGGACTGTTGGGTCGAGCTCGAGGAAGTGACATGTTCCCCTCGCCGATGTGGAAGCAGTGCCCAGGCCACAGGGGGCCGCCTTCAGGCTCCGGCCCTTTCCCACCGGCTGGGACTGGTCTTTCCTGTGGGGCACGGGGTCTGCTTACACTTCTGTGATGTGAACCCTTTCATTGCCCATGTTTCCCTCCACTGTCTCTCTTATAAGAAAGGTTAAAATGCAAGATATTGGGGGAGCCACCCATGGCAGAGCATGGCAACACTGGGCAAACACGGAGACCGGAGGCTGCCGCGGGAGACGCAGCCAAATCCTGAGAGCTCAGAGCCCCCGACACCGGCCACTCCCTGAGTGTCCACTCCTGGAGACCACCACTGTTCGCTGGAGCCAAATGAACATGCTCCTGGACCCAAACGTCCCTCAGGCAGTTCAAAGTGAAAATGGGCACAGCTGATGGGGACCTGGGACCGGCCCCAGCCTCATGCTGGCAGAGGTAGGGACCGCCCCGTCTCCCCACCCTGGGGGACAGCCGGCACCGTCTGCTGACTGCCCAGCGGGGACAGGCCGGTGGCTGGCAGGTGGCAGCACGCCACAGTGGATGGCACTGGCAGGAGGGGCTCCTCCTCACATCCCCGCAGAACTGGCCCTGTTGTCCATCCGTCTTGTGCCCTCTGGCTGCCAGTGCACCTGACTCATCTCGGGGGGCAAGCGCTCCTGCTCTGACGGCTCCAGCTCAGGAGCTGACCTTCCCGCCAGTTTCGGGAGATCCGAGGCCAAACCCCTATCCATGACCAGCTTTTCCGTCAGCTCAGAACCAGCAGGCGTGAGCAGGTCTGGAAAGACGTGTTGGCCCCAGGGTGTGAAAATTCCCACTGACACACTTTAGAAAAGGGGAAGTTTCATTGTGGTACTGCCCTTTATCTGTGGTGACCTCTGACACAGTTCACGAGGCTGCTGGTGGCTTTCTAGGAGAGCCCCACCGTCCAGCAGGCCCTGAGGGCCCCACAGGTTCCAGAGTCAGCGACGGGGACAGGGCGCCCAGGCCGCCCGGAGGGGCTGTGCTGGGTCTGGGAGCGCTCGTCCATGGGGGGCCAGGCTGCTGCGTCTCTCCCCGCTCCCGCAGGCATAGGCCGACGCCCGCCTGACTCCTGGGTGGTTGCTACCACACAGCCTCCTGCCTCCAGAGAAACACCACCAGCGTGGGCTCTGAACACCAACGAGGGGCCACAGGCCTGCGGCCCCCGAAGAGGCAACCCATGACCCCATCAGCCCCCACGGGAAAAGGCGGGGTTTGCCCACCAGGAGCATAAACCACCATCCCGGAGCCATCAGGGCTGACCTCCACTAAAGGAAGCTTCGGGGATCCTGACAGGATGCCCAAGCCTGTCCCGAGGCCAGAACTTTCAGGGTCAATGTCGGTGAATTTGAGCACCATTTTGAAGTTCACCATGAAATTAAATGAGGAGGAGAAAACTCAAGGAATTAAGAAAAAGCCAAATAGGGTTTACGTTTTGAAGTTCTAAAGACGTTGGTAAAGTTAAAGAAAAGGGTGAAAACACGTGGCTGAGGTTTGTTCAAAATAACACAAGGTCTCAGGCAGCCTCCCCGGCCTGCAGTGACCGCGCTGGCCCAGGGCGCAGCCCGAGGCCGCTCTGGGAGCCGCGCGGGGCCTCGGCCGGCAGGAGGGGGCCTCGGCCTGAGGGTCGGGGCTTAGGCTCTGCAGGGCCGAGGCCCCCCCGCACGACGCTCACCGCATTTGCAAATGCCATTCCGAGACACACGTCCTGCGTGGCCGAGCTAGGACCAGGCTTGCCGGGAAGCGACCAATGACAAGATGGCGGCGGCGACCTGCAGCCCCACAGAGCAGCTGCGCCATCGGGGCAGGGCCGCAGGTGGTGGGCTGGTCCGCAGGCCCAGTGCAGGCCCCGCCCATCGAGGGCTCAGGCCACGCCCCCAGGCCCACCGAGCTGTGGGGAAGGAAAGCCTGAGGTACACGCACAGCACCCTCCCTGCACGCTGACCCTCAGGGGATCCACTCTCAACTCTCACCTCTTCCTCACCCCATCCCATCTTCTGTAACTTTTTTTTTCAATGTTTCCTTCCTTTTTCCCCATCCAATCTTCTACTGTCTCTAAGGAAGCGGGAGTCATTTCCGGTGACTCAGTTCCCCGGGGATCCAGCCTCTAGCTACATCAGATGGCCGTGGTCGCGGGGTCAGGGACGGGAACACCCACCACCCAGGCTAGAGGAGCTGCAGAGGACCCAGCATCAGCCCATCACCCGGGGGCCATCTGATGGCTCTGCTCCCATAGGGGCACTTGCTAGATGGGTGTGGCTAGACCAGCTCAGTCTCCCTCCCTGCTGGGACAGGCCCTCTATGAACATGCAGGCATCTCTCTGAGTCTGTGGGTGCGGCAGGGGTGGGTGGACGGGATGGGGACCTGCCTCTTGCTGTCTCACCTCTTGAGTTGACGGAAGGCGCCATGTCATACCTACGAGTCCAGTGCCACCGCAGTGTCTGGGAAACTAAGCAAAGGGCATAAGCCCTGGAGCAGATGTCCCTCCCCGGGGGGCAGAGGACGGTTCTCCCTCTGGGTCATCACTCTGCAGGGGCTACTGGAAATCTCTGGAGGACCATGGAGAGACCACGGAGGAAGAACAGTCTCCAGGACAAATAGGAAGGACAGGACACGTCAGAGGAAGAGATTAGAGGGGAATCTTTAGAGCCGAGGGCCACCAGCTCTGCAGCGGTGTCGGGAAGGCAGGGAAAGCAGAGTCTGTTCTGTACTTAGAGGCTGAGGAAGGAGCGAATGCAGGGAAGAGGAGAGAGGGTAGGCATGTTTCAGGGGCTCAGGCAACTGCACAGATCCTCAGGAGCCCAGATGCAGCACCTCCTGTCTCCATGTGCCTGGGAGCATGGGAGAGTAAGTGCCAGGAACACTGGGCCCGGGGCAGACGCCGTGACGGAGGCCAGGGTGGCAGGAGCGCTTTCTCAGACTCTTCCTGGGGGACGCCTTGGACAGATTCAAGGAATGAGTGACCCACTGGGTCAACTCAGCACCCACAGCTACTGGAGACAGTTGGGACATCTGCGGTAAAGACCAGAGGTTGCTTCTGGGAGCTGCGTCCCACAGAAACTAGTCTGATAACTGGATGTCCAGATGCGAAACCCAGTTATGTGGTTGGCACCGCCTTTCACCTGTCTCTGAGCAATGACTGTACATTGCAGGAGGTGGATTTGCACACCCAGATCTTGATCTTTTATGATTCTTAGTGGCCGTAACCTCCTCCAATCTCACATACCCACACATGTCAGGAAGAACTAAGTTAAAATCTACTTGTCGGGCTTACTTCCACAGCAAAAGAAAAGTTAAGTGTATCAAGACTTTCGCATTTGATTTTTTTTTTCGCATTTGATTTTTATTGTTAATACTCTTTGCTTGCATATTGAAGGTCTCATTCTTAAGGTCCCCTGCAGAATGGTACTGGATGAGCTTACTTTTCCAACGGAAATGTCAGCACAAACCTTCATCACGCTTGTGAAACAGAAACGATTTTCTTTCTTAAGAATGAAAGTCTACAATGAAAGCCTCACTTCCTACTTACGAAGAAGTAGCTTACCGACAAAAGTAAACACAAAAACGTGCCATAGGTCTGAACTGTTCCCTGATTTTGGGGGAGATATCGCCCCCCAAAATTGCTAAAATCATGTGAAAAGGCAACAAATAAATGAGAAGGATGTCACATAACAGTGGAGTGAAAGGACTGAGTGGGAAGAACAGGAAGCCGCCTCAGAGTCGCGTGCAACGGGCCTCACCCTACAGTTGAGCAGCGTGTACAGGACGTGGTCGGGGGTGGTCTGCGCCCTCCACTGCAGGACCTCCGACAGGAAAAGGAACTGGAACAAAGCACAGGCGTTAGCGTCAGGCTGTCCGAACAGACCGCGCCCGCACAGATACCCTGTGTGGCTCAGAGCAGCGCACTTTCCCACAGGGGAACGGGGACAGCCCTGTCGAGCAAAACGGGGAGACTAAGCCCGTGCTCACGGGGTTTTTCCTGGATGACTTGGAAGGCGCTGTGGCGACTTGGACGCGCCTGGGCGGTGGCGCTGTGCCTGGTCAGGGACATCTCCCGCCATCTGCCCAGGCTGGTAGACCTGCATTCCCCTTACAGATGGAGCTGCCAGCACAGAAAATCCCTTCTCCTGGGCTTCCAGAAGAGGGTGGTTTCTGGGTGCTACAACGGCACAATAAGTTCGACCCTGTTCTTATAACGGGTTCTCTTCTATTGGCTATTTTCAGAATGGTCATTCCCTGAGGTCGGTCAACAGCACCGCCAACCACACAGATTGCATGCCTCCCACAGACTCGGGCTATAGCAAGAAAAAGACCAGCCCACCTCGTATCCGGTCATAAGAAACACGCAGATACCCCTTAATCTACTTCATTAACAGAAACAACCTCTGACGTGGGGACATGGTGACCAAGTGCTTTCAGTGATCGTAATTCTATTTGTTACCAAACTGGCAATATTTTAAATGCTTGATTCTGTGACATTTCCTTGTAGCTCACACAGACTGGGGCCATCGTCCGGTGACTCATCGGAGTCCCCAAGTCTGAGAGGTTGTGATGGGGAGACAAGCCGAGTGCTGTGTAAGGTGGGTGTGGCGCCATAGTTCTCCTGCAGCCCTTACGGACGTGTTAGGATGCCTGGTTTCCCAGCCGGGATTGTGAATTTATGTTTTCCTGAGTCCCAACAATTACGAGACTGAAGCCTTGTAGCCAGGTTGCTGTGAGGCTGTCTGGGCATGAAATCAGGGTTCACAGGAAGGTGAAAAACACGTGCCATGGGATGCTAGGATAGGACAGACATCCGGATGCCAGCCACAGGCCTCTGCTTGCCCATCTGTGCACCCCCAACAGACACAGCTCCCTTGGGGGATGATACAGTGCGTCTGCTGGACGGACAGGCCTGAAGCAAGAGGCCGGTGGTACACAAGGACCGGCAGTCAGTGACACAGCTGCCTGGGGGCACAGGGTTCAGAGAGCTGCCCGGCCTCGGGCTCACCTTGCGGGCCTGGTCATTGTCTTCAATCTGGCCCAGATCCCTGCCGCTGGCCTGTGCGATCCTCTTCCCAGATACCAGGTTCCCCACCATCACAGAGGCGGGGCCGATTTCTAGAAAGAACATGGGGAAACAGGTGAACTTACAACAGGACCTCCCACCGTGGCGTAGCGCCCACCCTGGGGAAAGCCCTCCAAAGGTCATGCTCTGAGCAAGTCTTATTAGAACAGGGCTTCCAGGGTGTCCCAACAACGACAATGATGGCAAACTCCAAGGTCTCGGTTACAGGTCGGAAATAAGCTTTTGCGAATCCTACTGCCTCTATTCTCGTGCTGGGGGGATGCTGGGATCTATCTATGTTAGCGTCTCTGAGCAACGACGCAGCAGAGAAGGGAAGAACACAGATGCGCCTCACTGCCAGCCATCAGGGCTCCGGACCACAGGTGTGGGGCTGGCCTGAGTTGCCGTGGCGGCCATCTGAGGGACCATGGACACAGAGTGCTACGCAGGTTTTATAAACATGTCCTGTAACACAGGCAGGAACACTGCCGAGGGCTCAGTCACGGCCACTGTCCGTCCCCCGGACAGCACGCTCTGGGCTCTCTGCCAGGCCCGCGGAGACGCAGCCGGCGGAGCCAAGAGGCTCCCGTCCAAAGTTCCTCGGACAACACCATTAGGGACTTGATGACTAACACTCTTTTCACAGGAGAAAGGCAGATACAATCCACTCTGATAGCTTTCTTTTCTTTTTCAAAGAAAGAAACAAGTTTCTTAAAGAGCTGCAGAAACTCAAAATTTCTAACTACGAGAAACTGCAGGCACCCTCTATGTTCCTCAGAGTGCTACCATTCACTGTTTTCATCACACACACACGCGTGTGCGTGGAGTGGGGAGGGCTCGCCGTTTTAGGGGACTGTGCCGTCATGTGAGTGCGCAAGAGCAGGAGGCGAGGAGGGCAGGCAGGGATGGGATGGACTTCGAAGGAGGCAGCAGAAATAACCAAGATGCCAGTCACCACTGAATAAACTTCTTATTAAACCTTTACCAAAGGTCAACCTACAGGCTTCTAAGTCGGGGCATCGGTGCACTATGTTATCGCATACGGAGAGCTGTGTGTCCATAGCTCAAGAAGTCTAGATGTGGACAGAGGTGTGGGGCCAGTGGCTGCCAGGCAGCCTGGCCTCCGGCGTGCCCTGGGGAGATGGGCAGGACTGCCAGCCCCATCCTCGTCTACGCACACGCAGCCACCGCACCTGGGCTGTCAGGAACTATGTGCAACATCAGAGCAAAGCAGGAGAAGCCCAGGGGCTTCCTGGCAGGACCAAAAGCTGGGACCAGCCCCGGACACAGGCTTCCGGGCTCCTCCCGTGGGCTTCCTCATGTGAGGCCATGTCTGGGAGCCCCGATGCCGGCTTCCGTGTTGCCACAGAACACGCCTTACAGACTCTGCTCCCCCATGTCTGATTTGTCGTGAACTCTTCTCTTGGCTCATAATACAGAAATTCTGGAGGAGGAAGGGTGTTTCCACAGTTAACAGAATGAGAAGCAAGTGCGGCAGGGTGACGTGTGCACAGTAACCGTTGCTGCTGTTGTGGACGGAGCCCCGCCGACTGGCCCTGCGCTCCGTGGCTCGGGATCTGTGGGTGAAGCATCCTTGGGGACCACGGAGGCGGGGACAGTCTCGGGATTCCACTCTGGCCTAAGCTGACCAGAAATATTCTCCGTGATTCTGTGAAGAATTCAATCGAGGGGAGAAGCACTCCTCCGGGGCAGGCAGGCGGTCCCTCCTTCCTCAACGTTTGTCGCTGCCGGAGTTGTCTGGATGCAAAGCTTGGACCTCACGTCTCTCCCCAGTGTGGACTTAAGAATGCTCCTCTTCTAAGCATGGCTGGGAGACAGGTGCTTTCCTATGGCATTTTCTTGCAAAATCTGTCCCTGACCCAAACTGAGGCTTCTCCCGGCCTCGCTGAATGAGGCTGGCATGTGCACGAGACACCCAGCCACACTTGGCTGCCACAGGATTTGAAGCCTGGACCAGGGCGCTTCCTTGGGGAACACAGGGCCTGGCAGCTGCTCCCCCCTTCCCCCTCCCCTGTGGCCCTCCCGTGGCTCTGATACAATGTATCCTGGGGCCTGCTAACCGCCCCCCTGTGGTTTCCTCAGGTTTATAATACTGTTGCTGGCCCAGCTGGTGGGTTAAAGGTACTTTTAACACTTGTGCTCAGTTAAGATACTCAGTACATGTATTGTCAGCTGAGCAAATGAATTCATCTAGTAAAAGGGGCAACTGGCTTATCTACAGTTTATCTGCATTTTAGGGGCTCTGTTTGAAGCCTCTAGCAACACCTCACAGAAAAACGGCCTTACTAACTGTCTGCTTGGGCTCTGGGTGCTTGTTCCAAGTGTATCTCTCCCAAGGGAGCCTCAGAAACCACCCGGTCCAACTCCCTCACTGTGCTCCAGGAAACTGAGGCTTCGGGGAAATGCACCCGTTAGGTCCATTACAGGTCGTCAGCCAAGGGAGGAAAGTGGACCAGCACCTCTAAGCTGCCGAGTATTTGTTAAAAACATTTTTTTTCAGACTAAGAATTACATAAACTTTCAATATTTAACCAGAAAGATAAGACACCAGATATTCTTAAAAAATGGTTTCCTTAAATCGAATCACACAAAGTTTCAGTCCTTCACCCTGCAGCAGCTGCGGTCGGTGAACAACCCAGCCACCTCCCCCCGTAGCCACCGTGCTCGCTCCCCCAGGAAGCAGGCTGTCCTCGGCGCTCTGACACTGCACTGCGGGCAGAGCGCCTGGGCCTCTCCCCTCAACCCTGACATCTGGCAGGGACACGGCGCCCGGCAGCTCCAGAAACTACTTCGCATTTGCCAACCATCACCCACTGTAAACACCTGTCCTGAGTTCACAAACGATGACCCATGGGACTCAACATGAGCTTTTCCCCTCCTGAGACCACTGGTGCCCGGGCCCTGGGGCTGTGGTGTGTGATGATGAATGGAAGTAAGCAGGTTTGGGGCGAGGGCAGTCAGCTCCGAGTGTGCACAAGGACACCTGAGGGCCACCCCCACCAGCTCCGAGTGTGCACAAGGACATGCCGAGGGGCCCCGCCACCAGTTCTGAGTGTGCACAAGGACACCTCCAGAGGCCCCGCCACCACCGTCCATTCCACTCACAGACACCCCCTCCCAGACGGAGCCACTGCTCTCCCCCTCCCCCAGCTGCTCGTGCTCTGACACAACAGGTGACAAAAGATCTTCATCCCTTTGATACGCCCACGGAAGGGCAATGCTGTGTGTTGTGGTGGCTCTCCACGTGAAGCCGTGCGCCCACTGAGTTTAAAGAAATGGATACTCTGTCAGCTACAACTTTACAGTTTCCTGCAGGAAAGCTATAAACCAGTGACTGAGAAAAGAGAAATAAGGAGGGTATGTAGTTCAGGGAACCCAGAATGTAAGGAACCCGGGGACAGCGTGGCAATGCGATGAAGACTGCAGAGCTGTCTGCCCCGAAAGCAGACGGCGACTGTATGTGTTTCTGGAGAATCCACGCCTCACAGGAGAGAAAACGCTACCCCTTCCAGCCGCCACGTGACAGTGTCCGCATCACAGGCACGGCAACAAGGGACGAAGGCCGACCTCGGCTCTACATGAGAGATGCCCCCCACGGCACCAGCACCCTCACCTCAACCACACAGGACCACCCGCTCCCTCCTCCAGGCCCACGTGGGGGCGCAGGCCCGAGTCCCTGTGTTCCCACCGAGTGGGCTGCACCCCACAGCGACCCAGCCGCCTCTACTGACTCCGCGAACTCAGCCCCGTGGCCACGCCGGACGTGGTTGCACGCACCACTGCTGGTCCATCCCTGACCCCGTCGTTTGTGGAGTGGGGACAGGAGAGTGCCTGCCGCACGGGCTCCGTGAGAAGGAGTTCATGTGTACGACACGTGGAAACGATGGCCACGCCGGGAGCTCCCGCCGTTGTTGCAGAATACAGCCGCTGCCCGTGCCCGGCCACCCCCATGTGCACCCCCGGAGGCCCTGGGAGCCCCATCCCCATGCAGGCATTAGAGCTGCGGCGCCACCTTCCACAGGCTTGCGATCGGGTCCCTCTCACTGATAACCGTGTGTAACCGCGAGGAGCACGACCGATTAGTTGTTAGGAAGACAAAGTCAGACAACGGGTAACTACAGATCCCCAAACCACAAGGTATGGACACACACTCGCTCTTACAACCGTGACACAATAGCGTGCTCCAAGCAGCTTCCCACACCTCTGTGGCTCTGACCCCTGAATCAGCCACGGGGGACCCATGTAACTGTAACGTGCACACAGGGAAGGCAGGCCACGGGGCTCCCTGGCCAGACCAACAGTCAGCACTTCCTCCGGGAAGACGGGGGCTCTTTCCCCAAGGCCCCCACCAGCCCATCCCCCCGCACACCAGGCTGTCCCAGCAGGGCCCTTGCTTCGCACCCTGGGTCGGGCAGGGTCACGCCCTGGGCGCACGCGGACCGGGAAAGGGACCCCACGGCACCTGCTTCCTGAGAGCCGCTCGGGCTCTGCACCACCCTCCGGCCCATGAGCCCTACCTGGTTGCTTCTGTCGAGGTTTAGGCAAGTTTGTGACACAGGTATGGGGGCACATCAGGACATTGCAGGGGTGAAGTGAGCCCTCCAGGAAGAGCTGCTTCGTTTCTGACAGGTGGATCCCGCCGAGTGGGGTTTTGGGGAGGGTGTTTGCTGGAACCAAGGCCAGGCAGTAAACCCCAACTTGATGGATGCTGTCAATCGCCTGGAAAGTCACGGGAGAGGGAAGCACGTGAGCACAGGTACCGCAGACGGACAGGAGCAAACCGCAGACCGAGTGCCGTCTGCCACGTGTGCGTGCGGCGTCGACGCCAAGAGAAGGACGGTCTCTGCAGGCCCTGCACGTCGGCTAACTGAACGTGGGATTTGTGGAGCACGGCGCGCCCCGAGAAAGGAACCTGGGCAAGGACATATAACCTCAAGATGAGAAGAAACCCTGTCGCCTGTGACGCCCCCAAGTGAACAGAGGCGGCCAGGTTTGCAGACCCAGGATCCCGACCCTCCATCTGCTCGTTACTTTCCCAGCAGGAGGTTACGTTTCCCGGTCGACGCCCTTTCTCATGTGGCGGAGGAGGGTCGAGGAGCACAGGCCACCGTTGCCAGGGGCGGCCACAGCCTGCCGGCCGGGGTGGAGGGAGGCGGGGGGGCCGGCCGGGGGGAGGAGCTACCTGGAGAACCCTGCTCATCCACTGGAAGCTGTCCTCCTCCGTGGAGTCGGGCCTCTGCTCGGCCACGATCACGATCCTCTCGTCGTGCAGGACGGTCACCGAGAACACGGCGATCCTGCGGGCACAGAGAGGGCCGAGCGCGGTGGGCACGCGCTGGACACGTGCCGGCAAGGGTGCTTCTGTGGTCAGGGGCGGGCAGCCTTGGATCTGGAGCGGGAACCGTGCGGAGAGCAGCCCGCAGTTCCCGCCGCGGCCGCCGTGGCACGGGCTGCCGGGCACCCACCCTGCGGGACGCGCCTGCTGGCCCCGAGACTGGGGAAGCCCCGCAAGCCGCACGTGGGGTTTGCTCCTGTGAGGTCATCTTCCGCACGTCAGTGGGAACGTTCTGTTTGGGACGAGCGGGTTTCTGCCCACGTGCCTGTCTCGCTCGGCCAACGCGGCCTTGCGGGCTCTGACCCCAGAGCGCCCCCCCCACCCTAGAGCCTGCACCGTGACAAGGAGCATGGGCCCTAACACCCCAGTGTCTACCACCTCTACTCCCGTCGGCCTGACAAGCGGAAATAAGACTCGAAAGCCGTTCAAGATTTCCTTCAAATTAGCCAAACACGCAGCAGCTGACATCCCGAACTTAACACGTAGCGTGCAAGCCGGTGGGGTAGGGGCGCGTCAGGGACTCAGTCTCCCCGTATAGTCTGCGGCTCGACGGTTACCTTTCCGTCTTTCTAGATGATCTGCACCCAGACGAATATTTGGCTCTTTTCTTCGTGTATTTACTTAAAAAATAGGCTTTTTAAATAAATGTTTTTACTTCGCATAGGAGGGAGGTGATGGAAGCTCAGGTCTGGGGCTTGGGATACTCCTATGAAACTGGACTCTCGGAACTATTTGGCGTGTCAGGAGTCACCGCATCCCATCGGCTTAAGGAATTTGTGCATTTTTATATAAAAAGCACCGTGTGCAAACCACTGAGTGCTGAGTTCCCGGAGGGCACACCCACCTTCCCCTGTAGACGAATTTCATGGGCTCCACGGCCAGCGCTGTGGCCACGATGTCGTCAGCATTGTGTCTGCGCCCGCTGACCACCATGAGTCCGTCCATCTTGCCCACCACGAAGACAAGCCCCCCGGGGCCGACGAAGCCCAGCAGGCCCGTCCTGACGAAGGGGTACTCGCCGACAGGGGCCCCTGAGCTTGTCACGGGAAACACCTGTGGACACATGAGCTGTGAGTGTGTGGGGGGGGAGCGCCCACCGTCCCCTACCCCGGAGCCGGGCCAACCAGCCATAGTCTGGCAGCGACACCTTGCAGAAAGCACTGTCCCCGTCCGCTGCCCCTACTGTCCCCTTCTGCCCGCAGGCAGGCCACCCACTGGCTTCCTTCCAGGGCTTCCGAACCCAAGAAGTGCTACCAGAGGTTGTGACGATTGTCTAATGAACACTAATCAGATCTTCTGTTTTAAATCCACAGCATCAAACTGATAAATGGAAAACTGAAAACGCGTTTTACAAGTTGTCAAATGACCCACATTCATCAGTGTTTCCTTATCAGGACGACATGAGAAAGGAAGCAAATCTCAGGGCACCGAGCCCGCACCCGGTCCTCAGAGCCTGTGGGGACGTTGCAGAGCCGGGGAATGGGGGTTCTAGGCAGACTCCATCCGGCTTCAGGGACATTTTGGAAACTCGAGTCCACATTCCACCGAGACGCACGCACGAGGCCGCACGTTACGGCATGTTCTCAATTGGAAGAGACGGGTCCCAGACGGGGACCCATCCTCCATGTGTGAGGTCCTCTGCGTGCGCCCCTCCAAGGGTAAGGCACCACCCGAGCAGGTGAGAGGTCAGCTCCGGGAGCACGGCGGATGGGCGCAGAGGGTACCGCGGCCTGCGGGCAAGCGAGGCCCATGTGGACTCGAACCGTGAGCCACACATGCTGGCAGACATCGCGTGCACACACACACCGGCTCCTGCCACATGTGTGTGTTCACACCTGGCCATGGCAGGGAGGCCGTGGGGGGCCCGGTAAGGCCAGGATGGCTGTGCCCGGCCCCCGAGCTACAGTGTCTTTGCAGCACTTAGTAAACGGACAGACCTGGGACCGGCGATATATACAGAAAACCCTTTGCAAAGACGATTCTTGCCTTTTTCCAACATTGGCTACAAAGTGAGAAATGCTGAGAAGTCAAATTTACTGAAAATTATATAATTGGCAGCAAAAAGTGAGACCATTTTAGTTACAATGAACACGTTCCATCAAGACACTGCCAGCTTCTCGTTTGCGTCTGCGCACCTGCAGGGCCCCCTGGAAGGAGCCCCCGCGAACCTACCTCGAAGGTGTTCTTGGTCATGCCCGAGAGGCCGTAGTAAGACGTGCCCGTCGCGATGGCGCACACGCAGAGCTCCCCGATCTCATCCGTTCTACAGAGCTGAGGGATTCCGTCCGGCTTCACAGCACACATAATGGCTGAAAGCAAGACCGGACACACGGGTCATGTTAGAGTGAGGGACAGAGAGCGAGGGAGACAGACGGACAGAGACAGAGGTGAGGGAGACAGAGACAGAGGGAATGGGGGGGGACAGAGAGACAGAAACAGGGACTGAGGGATGGGGGGACAGACACCGAGAGAGATGGCGTGGGGAGACACAGAGGCACAGAGAGACGGGGACGGACTGAGGACGAGTGATGGCAGGGGAGCAGAGACAGCGTCTGGAACACGGGTGGGTGTATCCAAGTGGGCCGGGCACGCATGTTCCCTGCAGCACGTCCTGAATTTTCCCGTAATAGAAGAATGTCCAGTCCTGTTGCTGTGGGTCAGTGACTAACTGGACAGGTGAATCACATTCAAGGGGAGTGACTTCCGCTAGCAGACATGGAGGACACGTGGAGAACGCCCCGGGTCCCTGGCTGCCCATGGCGCTTCTGTACTGCACACGCCCCGTGCTCCCAGCACAGAGCTCGAGTCCGTCCGGGCCCGGAGCTAGCGTTCTGGGAGGTGGGGTGTGCGTCCAGCGACAGCTGACACCGCCCTGACCCGCTCGCAGGTGCGTCTGTGGAGCAGGTCCACGACTCTTAGAAACAGGCTCTTCCGCTATGAGCGAGCGCGGCTGCTCCCCCAGGGCCCCCGAGCAGGGCTCTCACACCGTCTGCTGCTAGGCTGGGTGCTGGCCTGGCCCAGCACGTGGGGAGGACGACAATGAGGTCCCAGCGTGAGGGGGGCAGAGAAGCCCTCCCATGTTCCCTGAGGCCACTTGACCACAGACTTTAACGACTCACAGCTGGAATGTAAGCGTTGTATCCACATTCACGGCGGAGGGGCCCAGGGACGCCGGGTAGGAGGGCCAAGGCCCACAGACAAGCCCAGCAGCCACAGCCGGGGTTCCCACCTCAGCGCCCCAGGCTGTCTGCAGCCCGGGCCCACACTCACCACCAGGCATCACGAGGCCGACGTCCTGCACGGTAAGCACAGACAGCTTCTCCTCCGAGTCCACGCGGATGACGCCGTAGGTCAGCCCGTGCATGGAGAGGACGCCCCGGCCCGGGGGCTGGTTGCTGTCGTCTGTGGGCCTAGAAGAGCAGTTCTGTCTGAGTGCGCGGAAGCAAACAGGCCACACAAGGACACGCGGCGAGGCTGCCAGCCACGATGGGGTCCCATGGACTCCCGAGTGCAGACTGGATGTCGTGCCACCCCACGGCCTAGCTCGCCGGGGGACGCTTCTGCTACGGCCACAGGATGTCACTACCCCTACCTCTGGGTTTCCAGAACAGTTTAAAAACACCTTAGTGGCGTGAAGACCTGCGGTTAGTAAGGAACACTGCCTGACTCCTCCCCCCACTGTCCGGGCCAGATCCTCCAGGGTGGGAAGTGGCTAGCGAGAGAACGGGTCTCGGAGAAGAGACGGCAGCAGGGTGCAGAGTCGGTGGAGATTTCCCACTGCTCCTGCCATGAGTCGGATATACGTCATGTGGATGCACACTGTGGGCCAGAATCTGGAATAAGAGTCCCACTACGTGCCGGACTACAAGTTCTTGGGGAAGGTTCCGGCTGAGAGGCGTTCTGTAGGATGGCAGAGGCCCAGAGAAAGAAGTAGTGTCACTGCCTCTGTCTCCTCCATGGCCCATGAGCCCCACACGTCCGCTCACTCTGCGCCAGCCCCTCCCATTCCTCGGGGACCCAGACCTCTCCCACCTGGGCCTTCTGCACCTGCTCCTGCCTCTCTCCCTGCAGGGTTCTAGCAGCAGCAGCAAACCCGTGGTTTCTTCTCAGTGCCCTCCGGGGCCGCTCAGATGCACAAGGACTCCATGAAGCAGACACCCCAACTCCCACCTGCACGGCATGCGCCTGGCCTGTCAGTCGCAGCCTCCTGAGGGCAAGTGGGTCTCCCTCTGTCCACTGCTGCACCCTTTCCTCCAGAGAGGCAGTCTGTCGACTACGGAGTCGTGAAAGATTTCCAAGGTCACAGATTTTATCCCTGTAGCTAAAGACACTTGCCTGTGAGCTCTGAGCTAAGTGAGAGAGCGATTTGGGTGAGCACCAGCCTGTCGCTGTAACGACGCACTTGCACAACACTGCTTTAGGATCTAAAAGCTGGAGGACAAACAGAAGTTTGCTGTTTGACTTTAAAACAGTACTGAGATTTGTAACGAACCTAAAAATATAAATAAGGAAACGTAAAAGTTAAACTGTGCAGAAGGAAGTCTTATTTGAATCAAGAAACTGGTGTGTTTAAAAAAGAAGCCTAGACCGTAAGTCAAAAATTTCTCAAAAAAAAAAAAAATAAATAAAAAGGAAGTGTAAGAGAGTCTGGAAACTGAACCATTCTATCCACTAAGCATCAAGAACAAGGAACTAAGCAGACACAGAAGAAAACTCTGCCTAAGCTAGAAGGTCCCCGGGCAGCCACCTGGAAAAGAGCCCCGGACACTGGAGCCTAAACCGCTCTCTAAAGCGAGAAGAGGAGCCCCGCGGGAACCCTGTGCTACCAGGACTCCTGACCCTGTGCTTCTGTCCTAGGCAGAATGCGACGTGACAGTCAGGAACCGGAAGGCTCGGTACCCGCTGTGGGTTGTGTCCCCCAAACCTATGGCCAGTCCTGGTCCCGGGACATCAACTGTGACCTTCTTAGTATGAAAGAGGGTCTTTGCAGAGGCTGTTGGTTGAGACGAGGTCATACGGGATGGAGTGGGCACAATCCAATGACCAGTGTCCTCAGGGAGCAGAAGACACAGATGGTGTGGGACACGGTGGCCACAGGGCACTGCGTCTCCAGCGACGGAGCCACCGACGGGGCAACAGCAGTGGGAGGACCTGCTGCAGATGCTCTGCCAGAGCCTCTGGGAGCCCCCGCCCAGCAGATGCCCCAAGACCCGAGACAACAGTGTCCCCATTTCCACGCCCCCAGCACAAGGCACTTACGAGAGCCCTGGACACGGACACACCACACAACGGGGCTCAAAGGTGTGCGTAGTCAGTTGCAGGAGGCACAGAAGCAGAATGCAGGAGTGGCCAGGAGCAAGGGGTCGTGGCGACTGAGACCAGCCGCCCACAGGTGCTGGGAGCAACAGGCTCCTGTAAGAGTCACCGATGCACGTTCTGTCCTCGTGGTGACGGCACCTGCTTCCCTACATTCCAGAACAGCAAGCGGGAAGCAAGACTCAGGGCGGCCCAACTTTGGACTGCATTTGCTGCGAGGATCCTCAGTCGCGTTTACAAACCGATACCGCGGAAACAAGGACTCCCGTGGTGTTACTCCGACCTGCTGCTTTGCACTCGCATCTAACGGAGTCCCTTGTGGATCACGAAAACTCCAAGCCCAGACTCTCTCCTCTGCGGACAAAGGGCACTTAAACAGTTGGAAGAGAAGCACGTGAGTCCCTGGGACACGGTCCTGGGGTCGCTGGCCACCCTGCTGACAAGGTCCCCCAGTCCCAGGTGGCAGCGTTCCTGCTCCACAAGCAGCCCAGCCCCTCCCGCCCGAGCTCCACGAGGCCCCGCCTCTCCGTGGCCAGCGCCCCGAGCACTCCGCGCACACGGGCTCAGCACGGCGCACTCCCGCCTACGCCACCCTCCACCGTACAGACCAGGAACCGAGGCACGGGTATGTGAACCCGGTCGTCTGTGTCCCTGGGGGGCTCAGAGGGACCCAGACTGACAGCACAGCTCGTGTCCCAACGCAGACACCAGCCCGTCCCCTCTCCCCATAGCCTCTCACCTCTGGCTGCAGACACCAGCCTCCTCAGTCCACAGCACACTCTCCTTTTGGGGAAACTTCAGAACCAATGCTGTGTGTGAAACATGAGGACGGTGTCCCCGTGGACGCGTGAGGCTCCAGAAGTCCCAGCAAGAGCTCCTGTGTGTGCTCAGCTCACCCCGCACCCCCGCCTCCGGGCAGCCACCACCAGAGAGCCCCCGGCGCTTCCACACGCACTACAACATGGGCCGCACAAACACGTCTCTACCCAGAGAACGGCGGCTCCCCGACAAGCACGTTCGTCTCGTCCTGCTCTCCCCCCAGCAGAGCTTGCGGGGCCTCCCGAGTGTGCATGTGTGACACCTGGGGGACACAGAGCGCGCCCGCCGACCACCCTGTCCTTGCAGCGGGTGGTGTTCGGTGACACGGATGGGCGATCGCTCATCTTATTCCACTGCTATGTAATCAGCAATATTGCTGCAGGTTCCCTCTAGAGAAGCAGCTACGTTTAGAACATGAACGACACCTGAGCCACTGCCCGGCCATGCCCATTCCCACGAGGGGTATCGCCTTCTGATTCACACGTGCACGCGGCGCTGTCTCACGCCGGACGCTGCTGTAAGCACTCCACGTGCCAGGGATGCTCCCAGCAGCCCCAGGAGGGAGGCCAGACCAGCCTCCCTGCTCACGGGTGGAGAGAACAGGGCGGGGTGGCCCCCAGGCCCAACTGAGGGGCAGACCCGGGCGTCAAGCTCACTCCGGCCTCCAACCCCGTGCATCTGGCCGAGGGGAAGGCCACCTCCCGGCAGTCCTGCCTCCGCACACCCAGACCAACACTGTCCTCAACCCTAAGACTGCTCCGGCTTGCTGGGTCCAAGCCATTTGTCGCCGCTGGCTGGGTCTGTGTCCCCTCAATTCTTAACCACGCCAGCCTGTCTTTCTCTCCATTAACACCTTCCTGGGAAATTAAAAGTCCCGGTAGATTAAACCAGGTGAGAGTGAGAACGGGACCCTGTGAGCAGAATTCCCAGAGATTTCAAAAAGCTGTTTCATGATCAGACCTGGGAAGCTGAGCGAGGGCGGGGGGAGCCTGGCCCTCCTGTCAGCCTCCAGGTTCAAGGCCGCGATGGAGCAGCGTGTTGACGGGCAGCTCCAGTGTCGCGGGAGCAGGAACGCCCCGGCGATTCTCTGGGTGCACAGAGTCTTCGTGCTCAGGAATATGCAGGAAGGTAATACGCAGCTGTGTGTGGCTCATCCTGCAGTGACGGGCAAATTGCAGGACGGCCCACGTTAACACACGGAAGACAGAGGTGCCCACCAGCCCGGCCAAGGGAACACTCCCGACGGCCAGGGGCTTCGCCGGGACAGCACGCACACCTGCCACTTACGTGTCGTGTGTGTCCCACCTGGATAAACGCTAGACAACGGGGGCGCCTGGGTGGCTCAGTGGTAAAGCCTCTGCCTTCAGCTCAGGTCATGATCTGAGGGTCCTGGGATCGAGCCCCGCATCAGGCTCTCTGCTAGGGAGGGAGCCTGCTTCCTCCTCTCTCTCTGCCTGCCTCTCTGCCTACTTGTGGTCTCTGTCAAATAAATAAATAAAGTCTTTAAAAATAAAAAAAACACTAGACAACCCTCAGGTGGTCACGCTCTGTGACACCTGAGACGTATGTCCTCGAAGTCTCCGTGAACACACCTGCACTTTGCCACCCGCGGCCGCACTCACAGCCACACCAAGGGGAAAGAAACGCAGTGACGGAAGGGGTAAGGCATCTGGGACGATCTCCCTTCCCGGGGTTTACAGAGAAGCAGCCCCCACATCTCCAAGGCTTCAGCCCCACGGCCTCTCCCTGAAGCCCTTCTGCAAGCACAACTGCGAAGATCCTTCCCTGGGTCCCTCAGACAGAGGCAGCCTCCAGTTCCAGAAACGGTCGACTCAGGAACACCCAGAGAGCAAAGGGAGCAAAGCCTCAGGGAAGAGCCGCTCCTCTGCCAACACCAGGACTTGCTACAACATCTCTACATTCATGGCCCGTTGTCACAGAACACACACGCCCAAGCACACACGATGTCACCGCAGTAACACTGATGTGAGCCCGACGCCCGAGTTCTACCGCGAGTCATGCAGAGGCTCTACGTGTACAGACTCACGTGCTGTTCACGTGGCCCCGTGATGTGGCATGGCGCTCACGCCCCCCATGGACACGGACTCTGAGGCCTGAAGGGAGGCATTGTGCCACGTTACAAAGCCAGCAAGAGGAAAAGCAAAAGGAGGAAATGCCAGAACGGTGACCTGGGCCAGCAGACTCTGAAATCCACTGGGGACTGTGCCGGGCTCACTGGACACAGAGCATACAGAGCCATCAGTGCACACGTGGG